GCAGCACTATTTACAATAGCCAAGAAATGGAAGCAACCTAAGTGTCCATCAGTAGATGAATGGATAAAGAAGATGTGGTACATATACACAATGGAATATTATTCAGCCATAAGAAGAAAACAAATCCTACCATTTGCAACAACATGGATGGAGCTAGAGGGTATTATGCTCAGTGAAATAAGCCAAGCGGAGAAAGAGAAATACCAAATGATTTCACTCATAAGTGGAGTATAAGAACAACGAAAAACTGAAGGAACAAACCAGCAGCAGAAGCACAGAACCCAAGAATGGACTAACAGTTACCAAAGGGAAAGAGACTGGGGAGAATGGGAGGGTAGGGTGGGATGAGGGTGGGGTAGAAGAAAGGCTATTGTGATTAGCATGTATAATGTGGGGGGTGGGGGAAAGGGGAGGGCTGTGCAACACAGAGAAGACAAGTAGTGATTCTACAACATTTTGCTATGCTGATGGACAGTGAGTGTAACGGGGTTTGTGGGGGGGACTTGGTGTAGGGGGAGCCTAGTAAACATAATATTCTTCATGTAATTGTAGATTAATGATAACAAAAAAGGTGGGTTTACTCCCTGATGTGATAAAATTAAGTGTAAATCAATGAATAATGCATGCTTTACATATCCTTAATTTTGATCTTTTAAAGGGTGTCGGATGATCAGGTATGGAAGTACATTTTTCTGATAATATTTCTTTCTCTTACATAAAGCAGTTCCTGTGTGGTGGTCTCCAATAGGTTCTTCAAAATGGTATAAAGGTCATATCCAAGTGTGGGCCAAGGGTTTGTTTTTGTTTATACAGAGGATCAAAGCCTAATTTGGCTACCCAGAAAATGAATTAAGATACGATATGAAGAACTTCCAACATCAACATCCTCTGGAAGAGTCATCCCAGAAGATGATCATCAAAAAACTTCAACAAAGATCCTGGTGCTGTTACAGTTGTAGCTGTATTCATCCCGCTGATTACTGGACTTGCTGTTGGAATGCAGGAGATATCTAAGCTGGCCTGTGCATACAGTAAAACAACAAATTTGACTGGTTCTATATTGTTGGAACTCAACCAAGAATTACGAAAAGTGTGAGTTGCATTGCTTCAGAATCATGCTTCTATAGACTATCTATTTTTAAAAGAACATATGGGATGTGAACAGTTTCCAGGAATGTGTTGTGTTAATTTGTCTGATTTTTCTCAAACTATTCAAATTCAATTATACAATATCCATCATATTATTGATGTTTTCACAAATGCCTAGGGTACCTAACTGGTTTTCTTGGTTTCACTGGATATGGCTGGTAATTGCAGGTCTGCTTTTGTTATTTATCTGTGTTCCTATTCTGTTAATGTGTGTACACAATTTAATTAGTAGTTTGTTAAAACCTATACATGCTTATGTTAGTCTACAAGAAGTTATGTCAAAGAAATAATCAATATTTCCATGTTTTCTTCCATCTGCTACTTCTATAGCTTTTCTTCATCCTTCCTAATTACAGCCCTTTAGTAGAATTCGTGCCTCATATTGAAAATTACCGAGTATCATAATTCTTCCAAGCGGTAAAGATACCTCAAGACAAATGCTGGGCATAGAAGCCACAGGGCATAAATCTGCAAAGAAGTAAAAAGCTAACCCTTTCAAAGAATATGGCTTCTCTCTCAGTTACCAATTTTACATTTCCCTGTATGGCCCCGGAAGATGACTGGTTAGCCAGAGACGGGTAAGATTCCTCAAGGGAGGAACAACCTAAGACAGGCACAGTCGCAGGGGGGCCATCAGGAGAGAAATTGGGGCCAACAGAGGGGAGGCTTAGAACCTCACCACCCCGTTTTGAGAGAAATCTTCTGCATCTGTGGATGTCTTGTTGCCCTTGTCTAGCTTGGATTAATACTTAGTCTATAGGCACAGACTTGATCATCTACACTTGCCCTCTTACAGCACTAAATGATGCTTTCTATCTTTATCTTGCATCTACCTATCACTTCAGCATTTTATTTAAAAAATAAGGGAGAAATGTGGGATTCACATATAAATCAAATATAAAAATCAAATGAATAATCATATCTGACTTATTTATAGTTCATGATGCGTGATCAAAACAGAAAGTTTCTGTGATATGACTGCCCTTGCACTGTTCACCATGTAAGAACTTATTCACTATGTAAGAACTTGTTCACCATGTAAGAACTTGTTTGTTATGCTTCAAAAGATTGGAGACTGTTGAGAGTTAGGCTTGGGGTTGATTAATGATTGTGTATTGAGTCCCCTACACAGAATTTTTTTGTTATTAACAACCATTTGATCAATAATGCCCTCTCAAAAAAAAAAGGCAGTGTGCATCACATGCCTTCCCCTGCCTCAGTGATGGGGCTTCCATTAGTCTGAGTTCCCAAGTGACTGGATGAACAGAGATCCCCTGTCAATCTATGTTGGATATATAATGAGCAAGAATACCTCTGGCACATTATTGAGATTTGGGGTTTGATTGCAGCAAAACCTAGCCTGAACTAACACATTCCCCTTTTCTAGAGTTAGAGATTATGAATGAATAAGGACTGAATAATGAAAATGTATACAACTGTGTTTATTTGAAGTTCCTAGACCTCTTTGGCACATAGCAAGCCCTCAGATCACTTTCTCTATCTGCTCCTAGAAAATAACCATAGTTTTCATATTTCTCACATACAAAGACTAGTTGTAACTAGATGGCAATGTTCTAGGCTCACAGCATTCCTCATGCTTGTGATTTCAGAAGAGATATTTTCATTCATTGTCACATTCTCCCTCAAATCCATGAAAAAGCACTGTTAATTGCCCCAGCTTGGGTCATACGCCTATTCCATTGAGGGAGGTGAAGCCATGTGACTGACAATGAACCCACCTCTACCCCAAGATAGGGAGGAGCAGTTCCCCCAAAGGAAAAAACTAGGTGTAACTACCGTAAGAGGAACGAATGCTGGGCAGGCAGAAACAAAAGTTATCTACTTACTTAGTCACAACAAACAGATTAGAATCCCGGTTTTGTTTTTTTAGCTGTGTGAACTTGGGTACCACTAAACCCATTTGCTCATATGTAAAGTGGGGATAGTAATTACTTTGTAGTTGTTTGAGGATCAGAAATAATGTACAAGAGCCTGGTACTACACCTCGTGCCTACAGGTTCTCAGAAAACAGTAACTTTGCAAAGCAAATGCTAAAGGCTTCTTACTATTAAATTGAGTCCCAATACCCAAAGTTCAAAGGCTAGGAAGAGAAATCTATAGCCATAAGGAACTGATTATAAAATGATGTAACAAAAACAGAGTTTTCATTTATGGGTAAAGCATTTACAAGCTTCAGTAAGCCTCTAACGCTCACCTTTAGAGTCAGTTGTTTCCTTTTGTAATCTGTACACAAGGCACAGCTTGGTTAGGGAGGCCAAGCCCAGCTGGTATCACTCAGCAGAAGCAGTAAGGTAAGAAGGCCCTACAGTCCTGGATTCAAACTGTGCTCCAAGCATCCCTCTATCACTTGTGACTCAGAGTTCAAATTTTTTTTCAGAGCCTCATTTTAAAACACATTTAAATGAATACCATTCAGTGTGGAACTTGCATACTCAGTCTCCTTATGTTTCTGTCATCACCATATCATCTGCCTCCAAAGCCTACAGTCTGTTTTGCACCAGGGAACATTTCCAAAGATATTTTAGCTGTTCTTGACTTAGTCATCAAACATTTACTAAGTGCATGCTGGGTGTAGGTGCTAAGAAGACAGAGATGGCCAAGTTTAATAGAGGGGAAGAGATGAAGCAAAGTGCTATAGGGACTGGCTATGGTTAAGACTGTATAGGGATTCCTAGTCAGTGTTCAGGAAGAGAATCACAAAGACATGTAATGAATCTTGGGAAGAAAAGTTAACAGTGCACCAGAGACGAGGGGAGACAGGCATTCTAGGTAATGGTACAAGAAAATGAGGAGAAATGGATATTTTAACAGCTTAATGTACACGGGATGCACTTTAGTGTCACAAGAGTAGATAAGGGTTGGTAGGAAATGAGACTAAAGAAATGGTCAGGGGACACATGAAGGGACTAGGGAAGTGGGGGTACAGCATGTCAGAAGGACAGATAGCTATGGAAGCTGATAAGCATGGTGGATTAAAGCAATTGTTCTTAATGTCTCCTGGGTCATAGACTTCAGAACCTAAAAAAAGGCATGTGTCCTTTCACTGGGAAAATGTACATAACACTTAGACACAAAATGTTGCTCACAATTGCCTGGTTGGGCGTGAAGACAGTGGAGCAACTGCCACAATTAAGGTTAGATATGAGAAGGTCTGAAGTAAGCCACAGTGGTGGGGACAGAGAAGAGACAGGTGTGAGAAACAGAAAGATGACTGAGTGTTATCAACAGATCTTGTCATGTGTTGGATTTGTGAAATGAGGGAATGACATGAGTTTAGGATAATTCCCAGGTTGGTGTGCAGTTTAGACAATTGTGAAGAAGGTAGTGTCATACATGGAGAGGAGCAGGCTTCAGGAGAGAGGATGGGTTCAGTTCAGGAAATGTTGAGTCAAATGTTGAGCCTTTAAGTTCAGCAGGAAGCTAATTATGCCTTTCTTGCTGATATTCAACTATAAACAGGCCCCTAAATATCTGTCCAACACTTCTGAATTGAGACAAGTATGTCCCCCATGTGCACAAAGGGATCCAGAAATAGGAGAAAAATTAAACTTCACACACCCAAAATTATTTCACGACTTTTTTTACTAAAAGAATAGACTTTTATTAAGCACTGTAAGTTTCTTTCCATCAGCATTAACAGAACAACAGACCAATTTCCATCATGGAACAACTCCTGAGACATTTTCATTCCTTTCTGGAACACTTCCATTAACCTCTGCAGTTTCCCCCAAGAAGCATCCATTCAAACTTACATTAATAAACTATGGAGCTTTTGTGGTAACGTGGGCCAAAAAGGTAGGGAATTTGGAATCTGGGAGTGAGAAAGAGAAATACGTATTATCCATCCACTAAACACACAGTCAAGAGCACAAAAGAGATATTAACACAGGAAAAGATAATGAAAGAATTTTTGTCAGTAACATCACTTATCAGGGAGCACTAAACATCACTGACTCCTTGCAGTTAAAGTTTCTTTACCTAGTATGTTATTCTAAAAATAGAATAGAATAAAATAAAATAAAAGGTGGGAGGGGAAAAGTCTTCTGGGAAGTAACTAAAATGAAATCACTGGATTTGGCAGGGTTATGAGATTAATAAAATATGAAATACTTAATTTGCTTCATTTACATGAAAATGCACTTGTCATTAGTTACTACCAACATGGACAAAAAGTGCATCTATAAAATTACAAGGGCAATGTCAGAAGCTGCAATGGGCACCCCAGCATTTTGCTTTTAAGATGGAAAAGACGATTTTATAAAAAATGACGTTATCTTCTTAGAAAAACAAAATAACCTCAGACAATATTGAAGATAATTTTTTAGCCGTAATAGAGGAATAGGTGCACTGAGCTCTACTTACATCAGCAGACTACTGCAAAAAGCCAAAGGGAAAGAGAAAATGAAAGTCAAATAAAGAAGATGCCAAAGTCACAAGAAGGAGGAAAATATAGAGCGACACAGAGTGAACAGTGACAACTTATGCCCCTCAAACCCCAACATATTTAGGAAATATGCATCAGGAAGTGAACAAGTGTAACGATTAAACCTTAGTAGAATTATACGAACTACTTTAAACTGTGGTCTACTTGTACTGTCATTTCACAGGAGGTCGTCTTAGAGAATGAAAGGGTAGCACTTAACATGCCCACAGGAGCCTTCTAAGGTTCCAATGGACTGGGTCACTATAACCAAACAGTTACTTCCACATTCTTTCTAACCTACATAAGTGTTCTACCCCCCCACCCCCCACCTTAACCACCCTCCCTAATGCCTTGTCAGGTTGTTTTTCTCAGCGATCAAGAGTGAATATGCCTTGGCCAACAATGCCATAAAATCAAGATGGAGACAAAAATCAAATGTCACTAGGCAAAGCAAGTGCCATTTCCTGGGCTTTCAAGTCTACCCAAAGTCCTACTGGCTCAGGATGAAAATGATACAGGTGAGCAGAATTTTGTCAGGCCTGGTCCAGACCAGAGTGGACACTGAATGGAGGTGGGGGGCAGTTTCAGGCTGACCCCAAGACACATTAGCAGAAATCAAGAACTGCAAGTCCTTGGAGATCAGTGGTTGTATACAATCAGGGTGCTTTTGCTTGTGGCCCTTCAAGGTAAAGGGGTCATTTCTGGGGGTTCCAATATGATTTTGTGCAAGAGAAGCCACATTATAGTCAGAAATCGAACCTCAAGGGAAGGATGGCTCTCTTCAAGCAAGAATTAAAACTGTCTTCCCCAATTTGTCCTGCAATTAGAAAAAGTTCACCTTACAGCAATGAACCTTAGTCTTTCTTGCTTCTAAATGGTGTATTTTGGCAGACAAATTAAAATGCAGGAATATGGCCCCTTATGGTTTATTCTTGTAAACTTCCAAACCCAAAGTACTGAATCCAAATAAAAATCAATGCTGGCAGTTAAGCCACTTGTTTCACCCTGGGCCAGGCTAGGAGGAAGTGGAGGCGTGTGGAAGGGAGAAAGGCAAGCCTTTTGGCAAACTGGAATCGTTCCTGTCAAAGCAGCAATTTTACTTCTCACAGTGAATGCCTACAAAGTAAGAAACCTTCTTAACACTGTGAGAGTTAACAATACTGTCATTTGTGTCAAATAGATTCAAGATGCACAGAAATAGCAACTAAAGAAAATGAACTCCAAGTACGTCCTATTAGAAAATGGAGTTGTATATATATTTAACACAGCTTAGTGACTAGTTACTTTTAGAGCCCCAAAAGAATCCTGCCTCTGTGGCTCCAGAAAGAAATCTCCAAGTTCACTACTAAATCCCTTTATTGCTGGCTATAGAAGTCCTAACCTTCAACAGGCTGTGAAAGGTCAGGCAGGTCCAAGAGAAGAGGGAGGACACCAAAGTAGGGAGGCTGATTCCAAAGAGGAGGTTTTTGTTCACTTTGTTCCTGATTATATCTGGCTAGGTGGGCACTCTTGTCAGCCTGCTTTGGTTAATATAAGAAGTATCTGGGCAGGGGGAGAGGCATTCTAGGTCTCCCTCCCCCTGCAAATTTTGGGTTCTCTTAAATTGGGCCAGTATGAGACTGTTTTCAATCTCTTATGATATATTCATTGTACATGGGCAGTGAACAAACAGCCTTCCAGTTGTCTGGAAAAAAATCAAGGATCTGCTTTGGGTTAAGGTGCATGGGGTTTTTCAAGAAGAGAGAGAACCCTGCTATAAGTCTAGTCAGTTGTATTCCTGTAGAAATGGTACTTCTTGGGCAAGAGTATCACAAAGCCCAAAAGGAGATGTGTGAGGCTGGGAGCCTCAATTCCTAAATAAAGACACAATGCTTATCTGTTGCAAGCCATGTTCCCACCCCTCAAACTTAGGCTGCTGAGGAGGGAAACTGGAAATGCAAGGTTGTCTCCAGAGTATCTCCAGCAAGGAGGAACCACCTCTTTGTCCTGCGCAAATTCTGGCCTCATTAGGGGCTGGGAACCTTTTACAGAATACCGCTAAAGGGCAGGCTAGAGTCCTCACAAGTATTCCTTGCAAAACAAATGAAAAGATCCAGTAGTCAAAATGTCAATGAACAAAGGAAACAATCTAGGCATGTAAAATCAAATTGTTGATTTCTTCACACTTCCCTATCCCATCTTTCCAACACTGGTCCTCTCTTCTGTAGGGATTCATGGTAATCAATTCCAGCCTAAGGACACTTAGACCCTGGAGTTGCAGATGCAATTTCCTCCTAACTGCTGCAAGCCCTGGTAATCACCTCCCAACCCCCTTCTCTCTCTGAGTCAGACTGCTCCCTCACAAGGAAATGCCCAACTTGTTCCAGTCCCATTCCAGCCTCCTGTTTTCACCATATGGGATGTGAAGGCTCTGTCCAAGATTAAGCTTGTGACAACCCAACTGTCTGTTGTTCTGAACAGGCAATCTCTGGAAAGTACTTTTTGTCTGCTTTAGATAAGCCCATCTTCTCATAACCATGATGGGCTGTGACTTAGTAAGAATTGTAAAGTGTGGTCTTTGAAACCCACCACTCCATAGCAGTGGAAGCATTTGTGGGAAATTTCAGTAAATCCTCTGGGACATCACCATATATGTAGGTATGTGTGCATGCATAGATCTCTCTCTCTACATATATACACACACACACATACACATGTTTATATATATAAAATATGTATAAATAGATCTGTCTTTTTATATAAAGGGTATGTGTATGCATATACAGACGTTCATATATACATCCACCCACAGACCCATACACAAACACACCCACGCACACACAGTCCTTTGAGTTCCCTTTCGTACTCAATTTCACTACATTGATTTCCACCTTTTTAGGGTGTGGGCAGCAGAGAGTGGGTGAAGAACTGCACCACATCTTCTATTTTACAAACAATGCATTAGTTCAGAGGCAGTAAAAATCTGCCCAGTACTTTTCCGACTCACTTGAATCCCCCAGTACAAGGCTATTGGTAGTTTTAGGTTTTTTTTTTAAAGTATAAAATAAAATTAAAAATAGAAATAAAAATAAAAATAAAATAAAATAAAAAAAACCAGTACTAACTTACTTCCCTGAAACCATCTACCAGTCTGATTGTCAGGCCAGAGCTAGACGACGTGGTACAAAATCCTGGGGGAGGTGAGTCGGAAGAAAGAATGAGGAGGTGGAGAATGATAATAAACCAAGGCCCCACTACTTCATAGAGAGAAAAAAAAGCAAGTTAGAAAGTCATAGACAGTTGTCCCCACCACCCCATGGGTTCTTTAAATAAGTATCATGATAAAGACTCAGAAAGCCAAAGCCTTAACTTTCCTACAGGGCCTTAAGCGATGATACCTGATTTTTGACAATTACTGCCTTACTGTGCTCCCAGGGGAGCTGGAGAGTATATTGGCATTATATATTCAACCTAAGAATAGGAGCTAGTCTTATTGCCATCCATCTTTGACCAGAACTTCCCCCAGAAGCAGACACTAAGTCTGAGGCCCCAGAAAAAGACAGGGAAGGGGAAAGATGGATAGAATAGGATATCCCATAAAAATCCTGGATAAATCTAGGGTAAGCATTTATGTCCTCCTCTAACTTGGGCCTAAAATCAGAAAAGTACAGGTTTTTCCCTCTTTCTGATCCAACGAAGCCATCTTCTTCTTGTTATTCTTCTTTCTGTTGTACCACAGTTCCTAGCTTTTGCTCTCGTAAATGGCTCTTCTCCCCATTCTTCATGTGTAAGTAGCGGTTTTCATTATTACAAATGCTGTTGTCTCTGAATAAGGCACACTGTACTGGAGCTGGAAGATGATATTCACTCTTCTCTTCCTTGATCAATGTGCCATTGTTTCCATTTACCTGTGAGTGAGACCGCCCTTGATGAGGCTCCAGGGATTTAGAAATGCCATCTGAAGTGCCCTGCCAAAAACAGATACTCAATGGAAACGGTAATCCCCAACTGGATGATTCTCAAGCATGTTCATAAAACTAGCTTGGGAGAGCTGCTTCACTTCTCCAAAAAGCCCACATCAGAAAGCCCACATCAGAAAGCCCACAGCTCGCTAACACTTAATACACTCTGATGTCCTGAGAACACAGGGTGACAAGAGATGGATCTGACGAAAAATTCAATGGCAATGACAACACAATAATGACAAAGATACCACTTACAAAGTTTTACAGTATATTTTTCTAATACTTGTAGTGACCCTAAATGGTCACTAAATGGTAGATACTATGATCATCATTTATAGAGGAGGAAGCTGAGGCTCAGGAAGATTAAAGTAACTTGCCCCAGGACACCCAGATAGAAAGTGATGGTGCTGAGTTTCCATTCCAGGTCAGCCAGCCATCAAAGTTTATTCTCTTAACTGCCATGCAATGCTGTCCAATGCTGACAATTGGACACATAACTGAAAGGAAAGTCTATGTGTACCATTCCAAAGAATCTCTCATAGCTAAAAACAACCACCTGTTTTTCTTTTAATTCCAGGAATGTGCCTATTATTGAAATGCTGTAACATGAACTGCATCGCTGTGTAGTACAGTACCGGCTCTCAATGAATGCTAGTGAGAATAATATTAGCTTCTGATTCCTAAGTGGCTGGACATGCCAGGTATTCTGCTGTTCATTTTACAGATAAGACAAGTGAGACTCAGAAAAGTAAAAAGACCTGCTCAAGGTTACTGGCCTGCCTAGACTTAGATTCAAGTCTGTTTGACTTCAAAGACCTTGTTTTTTCCACTAAGATATAATATATAATGGAAATCTAATACCTGTTAAATGTGTGGTCACTTGTAAATAATAACTATTAGTTTTTATTGAGCACTTCTCATGTTCCAGGCTCTTGGCTAAACATTCCATAAGTATCATCTCATTTAATACTCATAACAACATTGTGAGGTAGATACCAATGTTTCCAATTTATAGATGAGGAAACTAGGGTACAGAGAGGTTAAGTAACTTGTCTATGGCTGAGTCAGACTCAAAGCTAGATCATTTGGCTCCAAAGTCTGTACAACATGGGAGCTACTGTGAAGTGCTGCCCAAGAATCTGGAAATAAGATCAAACTAGTAAAAATCCACACAATGGATAGAATTAGCCACCTGAGGGGGTCAACAAAAAAATCAAAACAAGTGATTTAAGAATTTGAAAACACAAAACTCCAGTGGCCTAGGAAATAATCTCAAGGAGACAGGATGATAATGTGAGCAGATTTAATAAATTGGGACAATTAATTATCTCACACTCTGAAGGAGGAGTGACCGAGCAAAAAAAGGACAGTCAGCAAGGCAATGGGCAGCAGCTCTGGCCAGGCAAGATGCCTTGGCTAAAAACAAAGTCAACATGAGAAATTCCTTGGCTAGACCCACGTCTAGAGTAAACAAGAGTAGCCCCAGCAATCTCAGCTGAGAGAAACTTAAGTTCATCTACTATCCTTTGTTTCCCTCTGTTTCCTCATCTGTCAAATATAGTCACAGTATCTATTTCATAGATTCCTTTAAGGATTCAACGAGACACTCCATGTAAAGTCCTTAGAACATGCTGTGAATGGTACACTGTAAGAACTAAGTAAGTACTAGTTAATACTACTGTTCTGATTCCTCATCCCCAAGCCAACCTCTGATACCATGGCCTCCCTTGCAGCTTGAGGAGAAAGTACGCTTTGGTAGAAATGGTTAAGAGCGTATGCACTAGTGTCAGCCAGACCTAGGGCTGAATCTCAGCTCTAACGATCAGAGTTGTAATACTGTACTGGAATCAGCACAGTGCAGGGTTTTGGAGTCAGTCAGCTCAGGTTGGAATGTCAACTGATACTGACTTGATGGATAATTTGGGGTAAGATGCTTCATCTCTCTGAGCCTCAGTTTCTTCCTGTTTAAAACAGAGAATAATAAATACCTCACATGTGTTTATAAGAGTGACTAGAAAATAGAAGTGGACAATACTGTGCTAATTACCATATAAAATATTGCAATAAAGTACAGTAAATTAGTACTTTATCTTTCACTCCCTCCATTTTCCTCCTCACCCCCCCACTCTTCTAGCCATATCTGCATAGCTATTTTTGCGATCTTGGTTAATGTGAGTCAACCGCTGAGAGACGGTCCCCCTCTTACTATACCAAAAATACCAGGTATTTTACACCATATGCCTAAAGATCAGACCCTGAACCATGCTGAATTCCTCAAGGCTGGATTACCTTGTGAGGGCCTATTTGAGTGACCAGTTTTCCTTTTAGGTGTAATTCCTTTTACCTTATGGAACAACTTCTGGGTAAAGGTGAGAAGCTGTGCAAAAACCCCAAAGTCACTGTTCTTTGGCATTGGAATACATTACAAAATGCATTGTGTGGGAGACTTACCATTCTAGTTCCATTTTTGGCTCAAAATAAAAATAACTGTATTTTTTGAGAAAACATTAAACAATGGGGGTTAACACAGATGCAGTGAGGGCTGGCTGTATATAGGAGAGCTGATTTGGGATTGGGAACTGATGGCAAAGTTGCCTTGCAGTCTAGTTAGTGACCCTTTTGAGGACTACAGGCTACATATAAAATGTCTGGTAGAGGGCTTGGTAGAAAGTGGCCACTCAAAAAAAGGTTGCTGCTATACTATGAGGAGCCCAGCAGTCTGAATCCAGTACAAGATTTCAGATCGCTATGAGAACAGGCCTTCCTATTTGTGGGGGAGGGATGTGTTTAATGAAGACCTCTGGGAACATAATATAATTCAAGGCATAGATTAGAAGAAAGTTTAAGATTGTTCTGAACCATTAATAATAAACAGAATGCAACACCTCCTCCCCTACCACATTCAGCAAAGGCCGAAGTCTAATATTCTAATCATCTCTGGTAGCCCCTCAGAAGCCCAGGCCTGCTGCTGGCAATCCACTCCACTCTGCCCCGTCTATAGCTGCACATGGCACACACTATGCTAGATATAGGACTTTGGGACATAGTACCTGCCTTCTATCCTGCTGCCTCCCTGGGAAAGGATGACACTTTGTAGCCTTGTGGAAACAGCTTGAGCAAACTAACTCTTACTAGACTGCTAGAGAGCAGGGGAATGAAATCAAATGCAGGGAGAAACTAGGAAAGCTCCCTGGCATCCATGCCTGATCTGATCTCTTGCAATTTAGCTTAAAGGACAAAAAGTATCAAACAGAAGTTAGATAATCTCAAAGAGGTGCTTACTTGTTTATGTCCTTTTTTATGTCCTTTGGATCCTCTACCAGTCATTTCTTTTCCATGCCTTTAGAAAGTGAGGGAAAAAGTGATCATGAGGAACACAGAAAGCCCATATCCCCATTTTCACTTAGTTAAGTACTCACCTCTTCTAGGAAGTTTGACCCTCTTAAGACCCTCTTAAGTTAGATGCCCCTCCTCTATGTTACCACTGTAAACCTCTCTTTCTGTCATTTCTATATTATACTAAACTGTCCTATGTTCCATGTCCTCCTCCAACACATTTTCATTAAGGCAAGGCATTTAGTGTATGTTTGCTGAACTAAAATGAATCTGGCTTTAAAATGGAAATCAATTAATGCCTCTTATTTTTAATAGGAAGATTCAATAGCTGGGCATTTCCCCAGGGGCACCTTGATTGACGCTACCTCATACTAACCTCCTGGAATACATACCCCTTTCCTGGCCCACCGACAGAAACCACTTGCATGCCAAAGGAGCCTCGGCCCCTGGAGGATCTGGTGCCAGCCCACTGGCCCACAACCATCCCAGCAATCTCCAATTTTCCTCCTTGGGGTGGAATGGGATGGAGACCTGGAAAGAGAGGAAGAATGGCTGTAATGGGTTTTAAGTACAAGGTAGGGAAAGAGGTGGAAGAAAAGATCCGACAGCCCACCTACTCTTCTTATTTCCATTTCTCTACATTAAAGACTCTGTGGTAACAATAAAGGGACATGGCAGAAGCAAATTTAGGGACAGGGGTTGAAGATATGTGCATACCTACTTTACCAAGTGGGGTGTAGCTGATTCATTTATCAACTACAGAGCCTGGCACATAGAGTAGGCATTAAATATTTGTTGAGAGCGAATGTCTGAAGATCTATTTACTGGAAAACTATAGGCCAACACAACTTTTGATTCAAATCCGTTACCACTATACACTGGAGGGTTAGCCAAACAACCTAACTAAAACTGAAAGTAATGAAACTGTTAATAGTATTTTATAATTAAAAAGCAAATAGAGCAGTAGTTGAAAACCAGAACTAATTCACGATGAGATATGGCAAGATAGGGAATCAAGGCCTAGAGTTAAATGGTTCCTTAATACAGGAAATTCCAATTCTCTGTGTGTGTGAACTTACAAGCATAACAGAATTTTGTAATTTGGCACAGAGGGAAACCTTAACAGAATAGAATTCTCGTAAACCTTTAATTTTAGTTTATGGAAAAAACTCAAATGTTAATAACTCTTGACTCATTTAGCAGGTCATTAGTAAAGGGTCCTTTGTTTATATAAAAGAGGGAGTCTAAGGAACTAGGATGCTGGCTAGTCCTATGAGGGCAAAAAAGGATCTTATTGTAGCTTTTCAGGAGGCAGAAGGCTCCTCATGAACCACCAGTAATTGGAAACTAAGCATCACTGGGACCTGGGACAATGGTGAGGACCTCGAGAGAATCTGGCCTTAATTAAGGCTGTGATCTGAGACACAATAAAATCAACATGCAAAGAATGAGAGCAGGGATCTGTAAAGTCACCTTTAAGGGACAGAGTGAATGGGTGGCTTCCTGGTTTGTAAGACTTATCATTACCTGACTGGACAGAGCAGACCTTCACACTGCTCATCTATGCACAGCCTTGAGCTAAATATCCATACTGAATTTTGTGACCCTAATTTAAGATGAACTTCAACTTGCAGCTTTATTATTTTTAAAGGGATGAGCAACAGACAACAAATGTCTTCAACCATAGCAAAGATACTCCCACCTGATACCAGACTACTGATAATTCATGTTAAAAATGTTTCTGTTAAAATATCCTATTTCACCAGGGGACAGGTTGTTCAACTTATCAGGATCAGTATCTGAGTTACCTAAGCATGACTGTTTATTACATCATGAAGCTGCTTGCTGCTCCAGTGTCACCATGTGTGTGTGCATTTGTTTTTGCCACTAAACTGCAATCCCTTGGAGGGCACAGACTGTGACTTATTTTTCTCTGTGCTTCTGGAAATGTGTCAGGTCTACCCCGAGAGTAGAAATGGGTACATCAACCTATGGTCATCTGTTGACATTAGTCATTTACTCTTACTTCCCATTGTTCTCTTCAGAAGCTCCTATGTACATCTGTCTATGGAGAATGACCTTAACTAGCAACCATGAAGATCTAGTTCATGAGTTACAGTTCTCTAAAGTAATAAAGTGGCTCTTGATTTCTGTATCAGTTACTCTGTAAATCTGATTGGTGAGAGTTAAATCTTTAGGGACCAGCCACCTCTATGGATGAACGATGGAGTGTGGTCTGGGAGGTTGGTGGATTTTCTTCCACAGGCTACACCCCTCCATCTCAATAAGCTCCTCTTCAAACCACTATAACACAGCACAGAAGGTAAATGAGGTAAGACATATGTGACGCTGTTGATTCTGTAACAGGCAAAAATTACTGGATGGGTTACTGTGAAATAAACTGAGGATGACAAATACCTCATTCTTAGGTACTGACCTGCAAACCTCCGGCTCCTTCCTTGAGGGGGAGGTGGCAGGGAACCCATGGCTTGGGAATAAAGTGAAACAGGGTACAAAGAGGGCACCATGGGAGGTACAAAAGTAGGTGATGGAAGTAGAGCAGAAGGTGATGGATGGTTCATGTTGACTCCTTCAAGGATACTCTGTCTCATCTTTTCCACTTTGGATGCCAAGTCAGCCTTTAAATGAGGAAAAGAATGATAATAGTAGCTGCCAGTTTTTGAACTTCTCCTATGTTTCAGGTATAGTATTAGGCACTCTAGGCACACAAGTCTATTCCCATTAAGGGAATCAAGGCCTAGAGTTAAATGGCTCAAGGCACAAGGAAAGAGCCTGGCACCAATGCCCCCCCCCCCGCCCACCTCTTTGCATGATACCGAACTACCATCATACTAGATGTGACTGAGGGCTTGCCAGGCACACTGACTACTTCGAGGAAAAGAAATATAACAAGAAGTATTTACCAGTTTATTGCATGCCCAGTAAAAGGCTAGATTATTTAGATACAGTAAGAGAAAATAAAAGAAGTAGATAAAAGAGAGAAAAACAAAACCTGACATGTACAAAGCCTTTTAACCTCCCCCATATCCAGGATCAGAAACCATGACCCCTCTCCAGGGTAAGCTCATGCCTCTAATTCAGAGGTTGGTAAACTTGTTCTGAAAAGGGCCAGATAGAGAAAATATGGCCTACAAAGCCTGTCGCACCTATTTGACTCTTCCACTGTAGTGTGAAAGCAGTCATAGACAATATGTAATTGAGTGAATGTGGCTATATTCCAATAAAACTTCAATGGAATAAAAATTCCCATTTTTGGAATTTTGGGATAGTTGGCCAACTCCTGCTCTAGTCCCTCAGCTTATTGCCTCCCAAAAGGATAAAGTGGTAAGTAAAGGCTCTTCACCCTTGCCTTCCCTCATTTTCCCCAAGTTTTCATTATAAAAACAATTCCTTGCTTCTACTGTTATCTACTTTACTACCCTGTTCTATTTCCAAACATAGGTCCTTTACAAAAAATATCATAACTTGAAAAAGTGACTTACAGGTTTGTAAATAAGGGAAATGGAATTCTAAGAATTGGAGGAAAGGCATATAGTACATCTGAGTATTCCATGGGGAAGAAATATTCAGAGTAAGAAAAGGAATATGAAAATTTGAAGCTCATTTAAAAAAAAAGCTTTCCAACATACGATTTTGTTAACATGTACATATCAGAGTCTGAGCCTTTGGGATTATCCTTGACCAAGCTGGGTTAAGGTCAGACAATATTCTTCCACTTCTGTTACCCTCCCCAGTATCTCTGCTCCTTTCCCCTCCCTGCCCATTCATCCCCACAGAAGATAAGAGAAGGCCCTTAGCAGCTGTCTGAAATGATGGTACCTGGCCATCACAGAGCTCAACCAGGGATACTTGGTCTCGGCCTGCTTTAATTAGCTTGCTCTGGAACAGCTTGCCATCGAAGTAAATCCAGGGGCAGCAGTGCTCCCAAGGGACTGGCTGGCCACAGGCATCATTAGCAAACAGAGCTGTGTCGACCCCGCTCATGAAGAGGGCAGCAAGCTGGATCCCTCGGGCATCTAGTTTCTCAATCTGAAACCATCACAAAGGAAAAACTACTATTAAGAAATTACTGTTATCAGTTACACATATTATTATCCCTGTTATGCTAATTATTCCAGTTAAAGTTGAACATGTTGCCTTTTAATATAGACCTTTGAGTGCATAAGTACCTTTTGTCCATGTCATTCCCTGAGACAGTTTGAAAAATCTCATTACCAAAAAAAAAAAAAAAAGAAGACATAAACATTAAAACTTTAAGAAGACACCAACCCAAGATAACCATTTTTGGGCCAGTCAAGATAGAAAAAATTATAAAAATTGAATACCAAAAGAATACCCAATGCTGATGAGGATACAGTGAAATAAATGGGCACACTCATACAGAGCTTATAAGGAATGGATATTAAAACTAAGCAGTATGTTTCAAGAACCTTGAAAATGTTCACATTTATTGACTCAGAAATACTACTTTTAGGAACCTTATTCTAAGGAAGGAGAAGTGTGAATAAATAAAAATGTTAATTATAACATTACATGAAATAGGGGAAAATTGAAAACCAAATGGCTGACATTATAGAAACTGATACATCTCTGTAAAATATTTACTACCAATTTCTAGAATACAGAAAATATGTGCTACATCAAGATAAAAATACACTGAATAATTACATAAACAATATTTCAACTATGTGGAAAATACCTGAAAAAAGACTGGAAGACTGTAAATCATCAAAACGTTTAGAGTGTTTATCTTAAGTTGTGTGTTAGATGGCTTCAAAAGGAAAAGCGGAAGTACTTGCAGGTCCCCTCCTATGTGTGGTCTGGGGTCAGTAACTGCTCTACTACCAAGCAATATTACATTTACTATAAAAAGGAACCAACACTGTATGTCTCACACTGTTTTTGTCTTTCTCTTAGTCGACCTCACTTAAAATTAATATTGTGCAAGTCGGCCTGGACTTGATCTTCTAACTTATCCTAAGGCATCAAAGAACCATGGCCACTGAAGTTGGGAGGGAGTGTCCTGCATTAATAGCTGATAGTTATTGAATACTGTGTAATTAAAATATGCAAGATACCGTTCTAAGTATTTTGCATGGATTAATTAATTTCATATCCTAATAATCTTACAAGTAAGGACACTCTAGCCAGAGAGGTTATGTAATCTGCCCACAGTCACAAAGCTAGTAAGTAATGAAACGAATATTCAAAACTAAGAAGTCTGGGGTGGCGGAGCAAAAATGGTGGCATGAGTAGAGCAGTGGAAATCTCCTCCCAAAACCACATATATTTTTGAAAATACAACAAACACAACTCTTCCTAAAAGAGACCAGAAGACACAGGACAACAGCCAGACTACACCCAGACCTGCGAGAACCCAGTGCCTCGCAAAGGGGGGTAAGATACAAGCAGCAGCCAAGAGGCACCCGAGCGCCCCTCACTCCAGGTCCTGGCGGGAGGAGATGAGTTGGAGCAGAGAAGGAGAGGGCGCGCAGGACTGTAAAACACCCAGCCCTAGCCATCTGCACCAGAGCACAGAAACACAGGGTGTGCTGTGCTGGATACTAGGGAAACAGGACAATAAAAACTATGAGCGGGTCCCCGCAGCAGGCGCCCCTGGGACAAAGAAAAGCGAGTGCTTTTTGAAAGACGTAAAGGGACAGGGACCACACAGCTGGATGGAAACATCCCGGGAAACTTAGCCGAGCAGCTGGGAATCCCAGGTGCCCACACACCCTGGGCAGCAGTGCAGCTCGGAGGCCCCTCATGGAAATAAACAGCCTCCTGCATGTTTCACTTCCGATGTGGTTCTGCCATATTGGAGCAGCAGCCTGAGGCCGGCCACGTCCACAGCAAACATGGAGCTAAATTCAACAGTGGCCAGGCAAGAATCAGAGGCCACACCTGCACACAGCTGCAAAGCACAAGCTGCTAGAGGTCGCTGTTCTCCCAGTAAAGGAAGGCCACAAACCAGCAAGAAGAGACGATCTCCCAGCCTACATGTGCCATCTTCCCGCAACTACCTCTATTGCAATAAAAAGGCAGAAAAATTTGAAAAAGACCAGATCAACCCAGACTGTCTTCCCTGAGAGGGAATCTTGGGAGATACACCTAACCAAGCGCCCTGAAAAAGAATTCAAAATAAAGGTCATAACCATGCTGACGGAGCTGCAGAGAAACATGCAAGAGCTAAGGGATGACGTCTGGAGGGAGATTACAGAAATGGAACAACCTCTGGTAGGATGTATAAGCACAATGGATAAGATGCAAGAGGCCACTGATGGAATAGGAACCAGAGAACAGGAACGCATAGAAGCTGACACAGAGAGAGATAAAAGTTATCTCTAGGAATGAAACAATATTAACAGAACTGTGTGACCAACACAAAAGGAACAATATTCACATTATAGGGGTACCAGAAGAAGAAGAGAGAGAAAAAGGGATAGAAAGTGTCTTTGAAGAAATAATGGCTGAAAACTTCCCCAAACTGGGAGAGGAAATTATCAGTCACACCACAGAAGTACACAGAATTGCCAACAGAAGGGACCCAAAGAGGACAACACCAAGACACATAATAATAAAAATGGCAAAGACCAAGGACGAGGACAAGGACAGAGTCTTCAAGGCAGCTAGAGAGAGGAAAAAGGTCACCTACAAAGGAAAACCCATCACGCTATCATCAGACTACTAAACAGATAGATACCTTACAGACCAGAAGAGAATGGCATGATCTATTTAATGCAATGAAACAGAAGGGCCTTGAACCAAGAACACTGTATCCAGCATGATTATCATTTAAATATGAAGGAGGGATTAAACAATTTCCAGACAAGCAAAAGTTGAGGGAATTTGCCTCCCACAAACCACATCTACAGGGTATCTTAGAGGGACTGCTCTAGATGGGAGCACTCCTGAAAAGAGCAAAGAACAAAACACCCAACATATGCAGAATGGCGTAGGATGAAAAAGAAGGGAAAGAAATAAACATCAGACTGGGTTTATAACAGCTCAATAAGCGAGTTAAGCCAGACATTAAGGTAGTAAACAAGCTAACCTTGAACCTTTGGTAACCACGAATCTAAAGCCTGCAATGGCAATAAGTACATATCTTTCAACAATCACCCTAAATGTAAATGGACTGAATGCACCAATCAAAAGACACACAGTAATAGAATGGATAAAAAAGCAAGACCCATCTATATGCTGCTAACTAGAGACTCACCTCAAACTCAAAGACATGCACAGATTAAAAGTCAAGGGATGGAGAAAGGTATTTCATGCAAACAACAGAGAGAAAAAAGCAGGTGTTGCAACACTAGTATCAGACAAAATGGACTTCAAAATAATGAAAGTAACAAGAGATAAAGAAGGACATTACATAATGACAAAGGGCTCAGTCCAACAGGGGGATATAACCATTATAAACATATATGCACCGAATACAGGAGCACCAATATGTGTGAAACAAATACTAACAGAATTAAAGGAGGAAATAGAATGCAATGCATTCATTTTGGGAGATTTCAACACACCACTCACTCCAAAGGACAGATCCACCAGACAGAAAATAAGTAAGGACACAGAGGCACTGAACAACACACTAGAACAGATGTACCTAACAGACATCTATAGAACTCTACATCCAAAAGCAACAGGATACACAGTCTTCTCAAGTGCACATGGAACATTCTCCAGAATAGACCACATACTAGGCCACAAAAAAAACCTCAATAAATTAAAAAAGATTGAAATCCTAACAAAGAAAGCAAAAAGGCTCACAAACACATGGAGGCTTAACAACATGCTCCTAAATAGTCAATGGATCAATGACCAAATTAAATTGGAGATACAGCAATATATGGAAACAAATGACAACAACAACACAAAGCCCCAACTTCTGTGTGATGCACCAAAAGCAGTCTTAAGAGGAAAGTATATAGCAATCCAGGCATATTTAAAGAAGAAAGAACAATCCCAAATGAATAGTCTAATGTCA